GTGTATGCACCAAATAAGGTCGCAATTCTTCAAAATAAAACTATCATTGCTAATTATTTATACTATACTGATCATTTATCCACCAGACTGTCATCAAGAAGGCCCTGAACTGGTTAGAGACCGGGCCGCGGGAGACACTGATCCCCGGAAATGCAGCTTGGTTTGACCTCAAGGTATTAATTCTTATTATAATATATATATTGGTAGGGGGTTATGGAGCCCCATACTCACCTGTGAGAAGGTTGTTGTTGTTAAAGATTCGCTACCTGGAACAAAGTTCCAAGTAGCACGGGCTATGGTGAGCCCGTAGATATTAGGAAGGGCTGGAGCTCCTCATTAAAGATGAGGCGACCAGAGGCAGTGAGGTGAGCAGCGTCGCCTCACAATCCACCTCAAGACGTAAGAGTTCACAACTCCTCACTAGTGAGGTTTACACAAATACCTCACAATATATATATATATATAAATATATGTTCTCAGCACTTCACTTTCGACTCAACAAAAACACACATTGGTGCATTAACATGCGAGCTCCGGATGTGAGAGCGTAATCCACCATAAAATGCTTCACATTAATATTACACGCCCCGGACAACACTGGTGGATTGGGTGGTTAAAGTTCACAGAGGAGACGAGAGCCTTGACCCTCGAGGGCTGTACCACTAGCAGCGCGCGCACCGCCCCTCCGACCATCTCGCCCGGCACTGACGGACCCACCCAAGAAAATGGGTATTTGTGGGGCAGGCGATGGGTTGCCAAGTGCCTCCATTTTACCCCCTATGCCACAACATAGGCGTTTACGCCTTGGCGAAGCGTAAGCTTATGTGCTCACCGAATTGGGCTTGAGGGGAATAAGCTTGGGTGCTGTGATCCCGCCTCTCAACTCTACGTGAAGGTTCCGGAGCCTATTGGGCGGTATTATCTCTACACTTTGAAGCTGTGTGACTCCCTAAGCTGTGGCACTAAGTTTCTAGCGCTAGGCTACCCTTCATTAGATGTCATCCTTAACTACAGACCGGCTTACCTTAGCTATACACGAACTTACCCTAACTATACACGAGCTTACCTAAACTATACAAGAGCTTACCTTTTCTTACCTTTCAATGATGCCGAAGCTAAACGTCGCGGCGGTGCGGTCTTTGACCAGGCCTCCTGGTTAGTGGACTGGTCCATAGGGCTGTCCGACGCGGCTGCTCGCAGCCTGACGTATAAATCACAGCCTGGTTGATCAGGTATCCTTTGAAAGCATTTATCAAGGTCTCTTTTGAACACAGTGAGGGGTCGGCCAGTTATGCCCCTTATGTGTAGTAGGAGTGTTGAAGTCTCGGGTCTCTGATGTTGATAGAGTTCTCTATCAACGTCAGAGGCAACCTCTCTATCTTTGCTCTCTATCAACCTCTGCTCTTCAACGGGGGTATTCTGCACATCCTGCCATGTCTTCTCGTCTCATGTGGTGTTATTTCTGTGTACAGATTTGGAACTAGTCTTTCTAGTATTTTCGAAGTGTAAGTTATTATTTGTCTCTCGTCTGTGCTCTAGGGAATACAACTTTAGACACTTTAAACGGTCCCAATAATTTCGATGTTTTAATGAGTGGATTTTCGAAACAAAATATCTTTGCACGCTCTCCAGGTCAGCAATTTCTCCAGCTTTGAATGGGTCTGATACTGTGCAACAATATTCCATATTAGAGAGCACTAGTGTCTTAAAAAGTATCATTGGCAGAGCATCTCTTGTTTGAAAGGTTCTTGTTATCCAACCTGTCATTTTTCTTGCAAGCGTGACTGCTACTTATTTTAAAGGAGTCTTCCAAAATTCTTAGTCTTGAGTCTTTTACATTGGCTTTTCATTCAACAGTTCGGTTTGACTATTGTCTCATATGTGGATTCCGTTCTGATATTTTCGTTTTTCCCATAATGCAGGAGCTGGAACTTCTCCTCATTAAACATCATGTTGTTTTCTATGGCCCACTGAAAGGCCCCAATTAACATGAGATTATATGTTTGCTGCGTCCTCTATAATCTATACTGTCTACCGTACTTTAACTATACACGATCTTATCTTGGCTAATAATTCAAGGACAAATTGAGCAATCACCTTGCGCACAGGCTGTACGCGGGTGGGGAGGGCAGGACGACTTCATTTTCAGGAAGATGACTGCAACTCTGGAGAGTACTCCTGCAGAGGACAGAGAAACTCTCCTAAAGGCTCAGAAACTTGAAGAGCTTGTACAAAAACTGTACCTGGCGCTCTGGTACAGACGGCATTTATCAAACTGTGTCATCCGCACTGAACTACTCAATACCACAAATGATGTGGTGGAAGTGCTGATAATGAAAATAGAGACCCTAGGTGTGGTTATTGTCCTTGTATATAAAACATCAGAGGCAAATCCTCAGCGGTTTAAAGACCAACAAATGAAAATAAAATACTGCTTTGAAAACCTCACAAATCCAGCCCCGAACATGAGCCTGCTCACCGACTTCAACCTACGCTACCTAGAGTGGGAACAATGTGGCAAATGCAGTTATATGAGAGAGAGAGGATCCCAGGAAGCAGTCTACGTGAACACACACAAGTGACCTCTTACGGATGTGTGGTAAATCTGTCGGGAAGTGGTGCGGCTGTCTTCCACACTAATGCCTTCTTCCCACTTCCTCCACATGTCTCTCTGTCTCTGTCTCTCTCTCTCTCTCTCTCTCTCTCTCTCTCTCTCTCTCTCTCTCTCTCTCTCTCTCTCTCTCTCTCTCTCTCTCTCTCTCTCTCTCTTCCTCTTTCCCTGCTCTTTATTTCTTTCTTATTTATGTTAATTGAAGGTAGGCTTCCGTGTGTGTGACAGTTACCATCGTGTGTCATCACTATTCTTCATGTCACCACTTAAAGTGTTAAGTGTTCGTGTTGGAGGTGAATATGAACCCAATCTGTAAACTTCTAGTCTCTCTCAGCCTCGCATAGACATAGTGTGTGACTGCTCGCTTATTTGTGCCTGCAGGATCGAGCATTAGCTCGCGCGTGTGTGCGTGCGTGCGTGAGCAGTGCCACCCAGGATAATGTTGAGGGCCACCTTGTCCACTGACAGACAGGTATAATTATAATCCTGTCACGTCGCCCCAGACACCGCCTCCCTCGCTCCTCCTGCACCACACTCACCGTGAGACACCTGCTGGACACGCTCCTCCTGCTGGAGAGAGGCACCAGCAGGAGAGAGGCTCGTGGAGGTAGGTACCTGCTTCATACCTGCTTGATGGGGTTCTGGGAGTTCTTCTACTCCCCAAGCCCGGCCTGAGGCCAGGCTTGACTTGTGAGAGTTTGGTCCACCAGGCTGTTGCTTGGAGCGGCCCACATACCCACCACAGCCCGGTTGGTATCCAACAGTGTATGTGTGGAGGGAGGTGGGAGTGTGAATTCTCCCCTCACTGTGGGAGGAGGGATTACCTCACTCTGGTGGGAGGGATTACCTCCTCACTGTGGGAGCAGGAAGTCCATTCACTGGGGGAAGCGGGAGAGAAAGAGGAGCCCCCTTTCACAGGTTCATTGTGACGTGGGAAGGAGGGTATAGGAAGTTAGTCTAGCAGTCTAGGGTGAGGATAGGGACTTTGTTCTCCCCCTCGGGGGTAAGGATAGTCTTAGTTCCACCTTCTGGGGGTGTAGGTGGAGTCTTAGGTCTCCTCTTGTAGGTGTTTGCTTCAGACCATGGCTCTCCCCTTAAGCTGGGAGAATGTCTTTGTTATCCTCTCAAAGTGGGGGAAAAAATTCTTAGCTATCCCTTTAGTGTGGAAAAAAATCTTTGCTATCCACTCTGTATGGCAAAAAAAAAAGTCTTTTCTATCCCCTGCGAGTGGTAAAAAAAAAAGGTCTTTGCTCTACCCTCCTGCCAGTGGTCAGGACCTTTCATTGTTTTTCTCATTTGTACTTTTATGCAATGACAATTATTTGGACATATTTTGTATTCAGAATCTAGTTTTTAATTGTTCCTACAATGTTAATATTTCATTTTTTTTATTTTGCCCCGAGGGGCGAGTTTATTGGGCAGCGCCACTCATCCTGTAAGTGGACATACCGCCATAGCAGCATGTACAACACTCCCCAATAGGAAGAAAACCCGCTGGGTTGTTCATCCTGTCACTTGTACCCAGACACAGCTGGGACTTGCTTAACTGTCTCAAGTGAACAGATCATAATTGTTTTTTGATGATCTGGGAATGAGGGTAGATGAGGTAGACGGCTGGGAGGGGGGGGGGGGACTCTTTTCTCTCTCCTCCTCTCACACAATCTCTTCCCCTCTCCCCCTTATCTCCTTCTCTCACCCAATCTCTTTCCCCTCTCCCCCTGGCCACTTTTTTTTCTCTCTCTCGTCTCTACCCAATCTCCCCCCTCTCTCTCACCTCTCCTCACCATTTCTCACCACCTCGCGGAGGAGGCCTGGTCGACGACCGGGCCGCGGGGACACTAAGCCCCGGAAGCACCTCAAGGTAGCCACCTCTCCTCACCATTTCTCACCATCTCCCCCCCCCCCCCTTCTCCTTCCCTCACTCCCCTCTCAGAATATGTAATATTACGAGTCACTGGAAAACCGAAAACACATCCTCGATTCCAGACTTCGTGAAAATCGCAGGGGGGGGGGGGGGGGGAGGGTCGCTGTAGACGCCGATATTTTTCTTCGCGGGTGGCTGTGGGGGCGACCCCGACTAGCCTATGACACTCACACTCCCACCATGTGTCATCCCGGAAAGTTGGATATGAAACTATCCCCAAGCTATCCAAGGTCTCCTACTTTGCACAGACATAAACTCTGTTTTATAGATATAGTTAATGTGGAAAATGCAACAGCAATAAGATAAAAATTTCAAATTAAGATTTATAACTGGTGGCAAATTTTACGTCCACGACTTAAAATGCTAAATTAAAATAAAGTGATGTATATCCACGACAAGCTACGGAGCATTTATTTGTTCCGCAAATTTATAATTGTCTCACTAAGGGTTACAGTAGCGTGTTACCTTGCGTGAGTCGTGTTGGGGCCGTGATCGTGACTCCGTCTATGGTGACGATAGAGGCTATGGGCGTGAGAGTGACCACGCCGCCCGCGTTCACCAAGATGCAGTGCTCCGCCTCCACGCCCGTGCCCATCACCACGATATCCGGCACCACGCCCATGCCACCAGCACCCAGCACCGTCCGCCCCTCGTTGATCGGGTGGAGTGTAATAGCTGTTGAGAGCCGCCCACTGCCCATTGACACCAGGTGTGGGCGGTCTGTTGCTACCTTCATCGCTCCGCCCACGCCCTCTATTACCGCCAGCCCGCCAGAGCTGTGCTGGCGTGTAAGCGCGGGTTTGGAGGTGGTGGTGAGCGTGGTTGAGGGCGTGGTTGAGGGCGTGGTGTTGGTGTAAATACGCATAGGACTCGATGTGAGTTCGAGGGCGGGGCGGGGCGGGGTGTTATGGTAGAGCGGAGCCCCGCCACCGCCCGCCACCGGCCTGGGCCGCCCTGCTCGTGGCGCAGAATATATGGGGGTGGGCGTGGGGGGCGCATCTGTGTCCGGCGGGTCAGCATCTGCGTAGGGAATGTCTCCAGCAGGTGAGTGGAGGCCGCAGAGGCTCGCAGGGAAGGCCATCACGACAGGAACATCACCTGGAACACAGAAGAAGGTGAGTACAACACAATATGCAGGTGATGAGTCACAATAACGTGGCTGAAGTATGTTGACCAGACCACACACTAGAAGTTGAAGGGACGGACCGAAACGTCGTCGTCCCTTCAACTTCTAGTGTGTGGTCTGGTCAATCTACAACACAGATCAATACGCCAGTAAATATGACCTATACACACCACACAACACTCTCCCACTACTTGGCTATTCCTCACCTGGGGCCCATGATTCATCTTCTTCTTCTTGAGGTTATTTCGGGGCTTAACGTCCTCACGGCCCGGTCCTCGACTAGGCCTCCTTTTTGTTACACACCCCAGGAAGCAGCCCGTAGCAGCTGTCTAACTCCCAGGTACCTATTTACTGCTAGCAACACTTTGCGGAACCTGTTCATCTCTCTTCAAACATGGCGGCTTTGTTTACTTATATTAAACAGCTTAGGAGATCCGAAACCCTGTGAGGTTGTTTAGAGCAATAATAAGCCTTGGTTGTTAAGTTTCCCAACTTGTAAACTGTCAAATAATAAATGTAAACAAAGTCACTTTGATTAAGGAAAGATGTACAGGTTTCATAAGTGGTTGCTTAAATTGTTTGTATTGTATATCACGCTGATGATTCTGTATAAGACACAAGGACATTGATGATTATGGGTCTTGTAGCGCAGTAGTCTCCGTCCTCGGCTCACAACCAAGGGACCCGGGTTTGATCCCCGGGCAGGACAGAACAGTTGGCCACATATCCTTTATCCTGGTGTATCTATTCACTTAACGATAAAAACAGATACCTGGGAGTAAGACCATTCTGCACGCTATCATCGGCGTCCTCGACGATCATCTTGATCAACTTCTTGCTTGTGTACCAAACTAGTATTCATCTACGGTGGCCTTAGACAAGTTTCGTGACGGCCCGACGCACATGCCAGCAAAATTTACTCGTGTGCCATAGGTTCGTCACCCCTGGCCTAGGCCCTAGGGGTACCTCGATAAGCCTAAGTACAGGCTTCCTGTTCCTGACAACAGGAATAAATAAAATAAAAGTATATTCAAAACAGAACGTTGTCCTGTGTACATATCTCCCTTAAACAAGGAGAGCCGTTAGGGATGTACAACTTCCCTAACAACATGTGGGCTGTGGTGGGCCTGCGGGCCGCTCCAAGCAACAGCCTGGTGGACCAAACTCTCACAAGTCAAGCCTGGCCTCGGGCCGGGCTTGGGGAGTAGAAGAACTCCCAGAACCCCATCAAGCAGGTATCAACCGGGTACAATATAGGAGCCTTTACGGCTGGCTAATCCGCAATAAAAGTGAGGAGTTAGGCGCGGGAACCTTTGTACTGAACACAGGATAGCAAACAACTTACTACATGATAAAAATACGAAGGTCAGGCTTCTAAACTGCACGCATATAAAACTTACTCTTAAGAAGGACATGATAATCATGGTGTATGCACAAGCAGGATATGAGTCATGGTGTATGCACAAGCAGGATATGAGTCATGGTGTATGCACAAGCAGGATATGACATATGGAGAAGGTTCAGAGGTTTGCCACCAGACTAGTACCCGAACTGAGGGGTATGAGCTACGAGGAGAGACTACAGGAATTAAACCTCACGTCGCCGGAAGACAAGAGTTAGGGGGACAATATCACTCACTAGTTAGAGTGATAGTGGAGTGACACCTGTCAATACCACCGACCAGAAATGGAAGTGTGACCACGTGGGGGACATGATCACCACATACAAGATTCTCAGAGGAATTGATATGGTAAAAAAAAGACAGTTTATTTAACACGGTACGCACACTAGGGAACACAGGTGGAAATTGAGTGCCCAACTGAACCATAGAGACATTAGAAAGAACTTTTTTAGTGTCAGTAGTTAATAAAATCGAATGTATTAGGAAGTGATGTGGTGGAGGGTGACTCCATACACAGTTTCAAGTGTAGATATGATAGAGCCCAGTAGGCTCAGGGACCAGTTGATTGACAGATGAGAGGCGGGACCAAAGAGCCGAAGCTGAACCCCCGCAAGCACAACTAAGTGAGTACACAGTGTACGCTCAAACAATTCTAATTAAACAAAATACATTAGGCTACCAATGACCGGCCGGAAATATTTCAGCCTGTCTTCTCAGAAACGTTCACCTCACTACACTAATGTACTAAATTGCCCGAACCTAACCTAACAAAGACAGCACCGCTCCCGTGCCGGGTAAGTCCACTACGGGCTCACCATAGCCTGTGCTACTTGCCCCGCTGCTGTGCCAGGTAAGTTACGGGCTCACCATAGCCTGTACTACTTGCCCCGCTGCTGTGCCAGGTAAGTTACGGGCTCACCATAGCCCGTACTACTTGCCCCGCTGCTGTGCCAGGTAAGTTACGGGCTCACCATAGCCCGTACTACTTGCCCCGCTGCTGTGCCAGGTAAGTTACGGGCTCACCATAGCCCGTACTACTTGCCCCGCTGCTGTGCCAGGTAAGTTACGGGCTCACCATAGCCTGTACTACTTGCCCCGCTGCTGTGCCAGGTAAGTTACGGGCTCACCATAGCCTGTACTACTTGCCCCGCTGCTGTGCCAGGTAAGTTACGGGCTCACCATAGCCGAGCTACTTGGAACTTGTTCCGAGTAGCTGAATCTATAACAACTACCTAACCAACTACCAACATACCTAACAAAAGACCCACGAAAAGGAAACTGGACATCATGTCAATTTTGGGAATCGTTATGATTTCTAGTATATCAGTTTTTGGCCTTAAGAGGATTTAAACGTCAAAATGCGATGTGCTATTCGAGAAGACGGGCTCAATATTCAGCGTGCTTTCAACACCCAGAGGCGAGGATGCTGGGGAGAATAATGCTGTCTTATAAAGAGGCTGAGAGGTGAAGGAGGAAGGCACCACATGAGCTATGCTGAATAACGGGATACGAACAGTAATAACTTGGTTGTCCACGGATTGAGATGGGAAGCTTGAAGTATATCCGATATCGAGGAATGGTAGCCCAAGGTCGAATGAATGTGAACAGTACACTCATTTCTACGTGGAGGGGGGATGAGGACAGGTATCCGTCCACCTTCACTGTCTAACTAATGGGTGGTATTGAGAGGCGTCCGTCCACCTTTACTGGGCGGTGGTACTGACAGGCGTGACGCCACTACCACCACCGTCTACCTGCCGGCAGGATCGCCCCATGACAAATGCCGCCCGCGAGAAACCTCCGCCATGCTTGCAGCCTAATGTTTACGTCCCCGCCTGTCCCACGTGCTTGTGTAAGCATGGTGGTGGTGGTGGCCTGCCTGGCACCACCAGCCTGGCACCACCAGCCTGGCACCGCCACCCTGGCACCACCAGCCTGGCACCACCAGCCTGGCACCACCAGCCTGGCACCACCAGCCTGGCACCACCAGCCTGGCACCACCAGCCTGGCACCACCAGCCTGGCACCGCCAGCCTGGCACCACCAGCCTGGCACCACCAGCCTGGCACCACCAGCCTGGCACCACCAGCCTGGCACCACCACTCTGGCACCACCACTCTGGCACCACCAGCATGGCACCACCTACCTGGGTGCCGGGGGTCACAGGCGGTCGTGAGCCAGGGCCACCCACTGTGGCACTCTACCTGTTATATTTAAGGCTGTGGTTTTTATAGGCAGTTTACAATAGTTACCTGTTCAGCAATTTTGTTGACTTGCATCGGGGATTTGTATAAAGGAAAATGACTAGGCTTCAGGTGGAAATTACTAGGCTTTATGCCCGAAATACTCTTCGTATATAAATTACATTGTGTACTACAAATACTTCACTGTATTATGTTTCAAATATATTTTGTATATATATAAAGATTATTATATTATTATTTGTTTTCTTCTCTGCCTCCTAGTGTCTCCAGCACATCTTTTGAAGATTTTAAACATTCAGTGGAGGTTACCTGCGTTAAGTGACTTTTTTTCCAGCAGGTCATCGTCTCCATGTGTTATATTTCCTTTATCACAGCTACAGATACTGTAATTAACAATCCAAGCTTCACCATCTGTAATCTCTGGAATGAGGTTCTGTGAATGTTCCAAAAACTGCATTTGCCAATTATAAATAAAAAAACGTGTCCATGTTTATTTTCAAGAATTAAAAGTATCAGTAAATGTTTCCGAATGAGATTTTTGGACGGGGTTAAGTCTGTTGCTGCCTTAGCCTGTGACTGGGTACATGGGGGTACTTGAGTTATTCTCTCTAGTGCTGGTAGCTGTGGTGTTGGATGTGGTTGGTGGTTGTGTAGTGACGCTGTGGGCAGTACTGGTGGTGGCTGTGACCCCTATTTCTTCTTTACACAGGTGACAACATGATCAGACGACGTCTGACTCCTGTTAACAGGCTGAGACCTGTCCCTTCTCACAGCTCATAGTAAGCCTCACCCACTAGTTTACCATGAAACACGACCTGTGGGCCGTAGTCTTAGTTGTGACCTTTGAATGTGTGGACAATAGTGGGGTTGTGGTTCCAAATCTGGCCAATGAAACAATTCCTAAAGAGACCAGGAGGCATGGTCTCCTGGCTTCGTAAGGAGTAGACAAAGATAGCCCCACTGGAAAATTAAGGAGCACTGTGATCACGCCTCTAGGTCTGATAAGAACAGAAGAACATAAGAACAAAAGTAACTGCAGAAGGCCTATTGGCCCATACGAGGCAGCTCCCATTCTATAACCACCCAATCCCACTCATATACTTGTCCAACCCGCGCTTGAAACAATCCAGGGACACCACCTCCACCACGTTACGCGGCAATTGGTTCCACAAATCAACAACCCTGTTACTGAACCAGTATTGAACCAGTAAACTGCTGGTTACTGTAACTCTCAGCTCGACTTAAAAACCGGTTGGTTTAACACCCTTTCTCTATGGGGCATAGCTGGCCTTACAAAGTCCAAGCTCAGCCGTTACCAGGGCTGGTGTCTCCCACCAGCCGTTAACGGCGCTGATTTGCCCCACATC